CCCACCCTCTCTCCTCGACCCACCTCCTCCGCGAGCACCCTCTTCACTCTCTTTCTATAATCTCTCTCACTCTCTCTCTCTTTTCTCTCTCTCTCTCTCTCTCTCTCTCTCTCTCTCTCTCCTCTCTCTCTCTCTCTCTTTGCGTCTACTCGGGTACGATCAGCTGACTGGGAACTGTCAGTAGCGCCGTGGCCCCCCTTCCCCCGCTTGCTGCTTACTTTGCCGGCTTGTCTGCCTGCTCACCCACGTGGCGTACTAGAGACTCTCCTCTCTCTCTCTCTCTCTCTCTCTCTCTCTCTCTCTCTCTCTCTCTCTCTCTCTCGCTATCCGAACAAAGTTGCTGCTGCTCCGCAGGGCCGCCGCGACGCGTCGCCGTCGATTGCGACGAAAATCTCGCCGCTGCCGCTACTACCCGGCAGTCGGACGTTTTCGTCCGTTGGGGTTGGGGCTTGCTGCTTTCCGTATGAGCTCCGTCGGTACAGCGCAGGATCGGTTCAATCTCCATGCGGTCTTATCTCAGATCCATCATTCGCGGGATGAGAATATTAACATACGAATATTCTCAGTGAAGTCAGAACCGCTTACGTTTACTCGTTATTACGTCTGTTGAGGATTCTTGTTGTCTTTTGTTTTAATTCGTCTAGTCGGTCGATACGGGTCGTATCCTTATCACTGTTATCGGAGCAATCGTCTTCGGGTATCACACTAATCGCACGGTATTATCAGAATGCGAATGCTGCCTTGGATTATGAGACGTCGGTGTCACGTGCATCCGCGGACTGCAACGTCCTGACTATGCGTGTACCCAACTGTATTGTTTAATGCGAATATTAGAATCCTCGGGTCAATGGTTAGGATGACGCAGGGTTTTCGGCGAGGATTGTCAGATTTAATTGAAATAATTATCAGATAAGAAAAACTTAATCGTGGATCGCCATTGTTTGGGCGTTTATACCTGAAGCCCTTAACTTTTTTCTTTTTTTTTCCATGCCTTCGGAGCGTACGCGTAATTTTTTTGTTTTGAAAATTCGCGTAAACTGCCTTTGCACGATTTTATTACTCGCCATTAAAGCATACAGTACTTGTTGGGACGCACTCTAACGTAACTTGGCTGCTTACCTACCGCAAGTAACCGTACCCCGATAACGAATTCCTATAGAAAATCGTGACACGTGGTCGCTAATAAAGAAAATGCATACGCATGCGTACTTCAAGGTCAGCCGTGATAGGGTATCTTCATTCATCGGCGTCGCAATCAATTCGAAAGGTAACAAGTGGTCGAGGAATCGAAAAAATTTTGCGTTAAATTCATTTCACCTAATTAATGCAGATCACAAGTCCTTATCACCATTTTCTTCAGCAATGATCCGCGAGTTCGTCTCGCCCGACTTCTCCCTACCCTCCGTTCACGTAATTGCGTCATCGACAGCAATCTGACTCGAGAATGATCGCTCGTAAGAGAAAAACGATCGTAAGAAAAAGAAAAACGATCTTGTCGATCGCCACCGGCAGGTTCCTCCTTTATTCTGCATTCGGCCCAGCGAGGTCATCCGCAGTGGGGCGCCACGTTCCAAGATCATCGTCGGGTCGGGGCGTCGCGACGACAGGAATAGCATACACGGGCGGAGATCCAGAGAGCACCGACCCAGTGTCCACAGCTATAGCTTGCTCCTTGCACTCTTACCCGATTCCGTCATATACTCTTCCACTGGCCTAGGTCTCATCTGGATATCTTCCTCTTCTCTTCCATTCGTATAGACGTCACTGGCATCTGTTCGTCTTTCCGAAAGAAGGTGCACAAAGCGTCGCTTCGTTATCGACATCGGTCGATACAGTAGGAACAGCTGGTCCCTTGTCACCTAATTGGCAGTCCCAGGTCTGTTATCCTAAACCCGGTTCAATGCCTAAACACGGTTTATCTTCAAAATCCAAGTATCCGATTGGCCGTTAAGCCGAGTTTACGGATCGAATCGCGTCGAAGAAAACGATCGTTGGAAACTGATGAACGGCAGTGAGAGTAATTCCAAAAGAGAAAGTATAATTAAAAATCGTTTGATCTTTACGACATGGTACGAATGGTGGTTGATTATTATTTTTTTTATTCACTCGTAACGCATAGGGAAATAGGCATTTGAATGTCTGAGCGAATCAACGGAAATTTCCAGCAGACCCCCTGGCGGCGAGTCGTCGCAATAAAATTTGTATCGTTTCTCACAGCAACCCGCAGTTTTACGTTACCGCGTACTTCGGGCTACCGTCAAGATCCAAACTGCACGGATTTACAGCGTTGCAAAAGGTCACACGCGATTACCTTCGAACAATTTAATCAGGGCGGACGGTATTGGGAAAACTGATCAGCGCTGAGGATCGTATGAAAAAGTGTTTGAAGGAAAAAAAAAAGTAAAATTTTTTTATTTTCTTTTTTCATTATAATTAATCATTTTTTTTTCTCTTTCACTTTCAGGTGAACACGAGAAACGAGTGGAGCGCTCTCTGCGAGCAATTTCATCTGCCCAGCGGATGCGTAAACAGTGGAGTTGGCCTCAAGCAAATCTATCTTAGGTGACTATCACTCAGCGTCACTGTATACCGTATTAATAGCGATGGATTGATTAACCGTATTCGTATACCTATATATATAAACTATAACTATAAACTATATATATATAGTCGGTGTATAAACAGCGTGTAAAACCACTCCCATTGGAAAGTCACTATATGTAGGATGGCGTGGAAGTGCTCGGCAGTGTGTAACGAGCGTCGAAATTACCCGGAATCTATGTCTGTATCGTATAGAGAGAGAAAGAGAGAGAAAGAGAGAGAGAGAGAGAAAGCACACGAGGTGAGGTTGGATCGTTAAGCGAACTAAATGGCCCACTGGTTAACGACTCTAAGACCAAGCGATAGCGAGGACGATGGTAAGGTTAGGTTGGCTCTGGAAATATATATTTTTTCTTAATGGAATCCAATTGGCACTCTCTACGCGCGAGCAGCGGCAACCCTAGTCGATTGATCGTGGAATTAAAATTTTACCGGAGGATCAATTAACGTCATACGAGTAAAGGAGACGATCGGAGACTCAATGCCCTGTCTATGGAGTCATTGAGATCACGCAGCATCCCTCTAAGGTACTCTTGACCTATAAGTAGAGAAATTTGTAAAATGTATTTTTTTTTTTTTTTTTTTTCGTTTTAAAATTTATTCTTTCTCCCTGTCCCCAGATAACGCGCGCACGGCGGTATCCGGTGGAGTCGCGTGGAACGTGGTGGCACCCGACTCTTCTGGTGCTCTTGTGCGACTGACAGTCCGAGCGTCTGCAAGAGCAACATTACCTCGTGGTGCGACCACTAGCGTCGGTCTGCTCGCCCCCCCACCATTTTCCACCGTTCGTTGCTACGTCCGTACGTTCCTACGTTCGTCCCATTCGTGGTTCATTCATGCCGGGCGTCGCGACGTGGAGAGAGAGAGAGAGAGAGAGAGAGAGAGAGAGAGAGAGAGAGAGAGAGACAGCGAATTGCATGAGAAGGAGATCGAGGGTAGGAGGAGAGATAGAGTAAAGTATAGGAAGAAGAGGGAGAGAATGAAAAAGAGGGAGACACGTGCTCGTTCTACTGGACCTGCGACGACCGCGTGCCACTACGGCAGTCAAAGTCTACTGCTGCTACCATCGAGCTCAGCCCACTCTCTCTTTTTCTCTATGTCTCTACTACCCGTTGGTTGGTAGCACTGTTGGTACATGAATGGATCCACTAGACCTAACCCCCACTATATCTTCCACCCACCCACGGTTACCTTTACCTACCCCATTCGCGCGGTCTTCGCTGGGTCCTCGTACCTACTATGATGTTGTACGTTCGGTTCGACCCCCCGTTCAGTCTTCACTCTGGGCCCCCCCGCCTTTGGCTTTCCTCCTGGTCCTAGGGTAATTTCGTAATTTGTTTTTACGTTCTCTTGGACGCCCTCCAAGACCTACCCACGGTTACCTTTACATATCCCATCCGCGCGGTCTTCGCTGGTTCCTCGTACCTACTATGATGTTGTACGTTCGGTTCGACCCCCCGTTCAGTCTTCACTCTGGCCCCCCCGCCTTTGGCTTTCCTCCTGGTCCTAGGGTAATTTGGTAATTTTTTTTTTTACGTTTCCTTGGACGCCCTCCATGAGCACGCCGATTAGGTCCGTCTCGTGTGGCTTTGTGAATTTTAGATATCGCCTGGACGGCTATGGGACCTGGTCCAATCGCTGATCCGATAAGGACTTCGCTGATGACTCGCGCGAGACACCGTGGAAAGTTAACGGAGTCTTGGTCGACGCGGAACAACAGTGTTGTTTGCGCGCGCGAGCGTGACTAATTATATTCACGGATCTTTGCTTTCAGGTATCTCGACAGGTACGAGAAGGTTCACTTTCTGGGCGAGGATGGCCAGCAGGCGGACGACGACGACGAGGACTCGAGACATCGGAAGTGGTCCGCCAGAGCGCTTCATTCGATTCCGCTCACGTACAATCATCATCAGCACAACGTTGCCGGTGAGTAGTTCGTCAGGGTCCAGAAGTGATCGTCGGCCCAGGCTGTGATCCAAGATACGTTTCAATTCGCCAAGGCAGCCCACGGATGATAGAGACAATGTCAGTAAGGCCTAAGACGTAGCGAGCACGTTCCACGTGGGTCCCATTGAGGAAAGAGACCATCTTTTCTCGATGCCTCGAAAGGAACAGCTACTCAGCATGCGGATGACCTCCTCGTGGCGTCGTACCATCGGGGTACCCATTAAGGAGTCGCTTGCTCAGGGTAGCCGGTGAAAGTACTTTTGCACCTCTTACCGCAAAGCGTTAATCGACTCCGCACGTACCGAACGCTTGCGAAAACGCTAATTCAACGGTACAGCCCAACACTGTTCGCACGTGTGTTAAGTCCAAGGAGAACAATGGCTCGGCTGTCCGTTCAGCTGGTATCCGCTCGATAAAGACATACGTCTCCGATGTGAGCCGTGCATACTTATACCATTACCTCATCATCTGTCGTGACCGTTAGACCCGCTTTTTTTCCTTATGGAAGTTTAACACGATCACGCTATCTCTCTTGGCGTCGTACATACATAGATGGGACACACAGGTATTTTTTTTTTTATTTCACGTAATACCTGGTATATTTGTGCAGAGAATTTACATATATTTTTTTTTCCCCTATGTCCATACATCCACCCACGAAATATTCCCGGAGTCTCACGAGAGGATCCGAGTCGCAGAGAAATCTTCGTGCACCGGGATGAACCGGTGAAAGACCCCGGAAGAAGAGGCATTCGCATCCAGAGCTGTAAATAAAAGTGGTGCATGTGCAACTGTATCCACGGCTCTCGGCAGCTCGTTCATTCGCTCGCGGGCTGGCAGTCTGTATTGACGTGGGCGCACAGTGCGCCACCGGCCCCCCCCGAGCGACGGGGCGCGCGAGATAATTTAATGGGCAATAATCATGACATACATATACCGTCAGTGTACTCCACGGCTCGAGCCTCGACTGGGTGGCACTCGTGGGACCCGCGGTCTATACTGCCGACGCATGCGCACTCGGCAAGCACGGTGGCATCGCCTACTACGACGCTCTCTGACTCTTTGATGTACACCGCGGCTGATCCCTGCTGTCATCGTCATCAGGCTCCTCGCGAAGTGCGACACTTCGCTTCCGCTTCCTACGGGAGAGACGCGAAGTTCAATAACTCTACCGGCGCGCCTCGGCCCAGTAGACGGTACCAGGTCGCAGCTGCTGTCGTACGGCCGAGTCGTTGTACATAGACAGGCCTATCAGTCTCGAGCTTTCCGACCGGCTAATGTACATAGTCCGACGACTCTAAACACTGGACCATGATCATCGGATCTTATACGTAATGCGTAGATTGTATTTTACTTTTGACCGACCTGTTCGTCTTGTCACTGACTTCTGGTATAGACTGTATACCCACGTGCGTCATTTATGTCCTTTTCCAATGTTTGCACGGAGCATACTAAGTGTTCCAGTGCGCGCTATGACGATGATGAACGACGAAACCCGACCAGGTGGAGCTGATATGGCAGAGAGCCTGGATAACAGTAATGGCTGAGAGAATGAAAGCAGGAGAGAGAGGGGAAGAGAGCGAGTCTGCTGGTAACGAAAGAGAAAGAAAGAGAGCTCAGTGAGAGCCCAGGAGACAGCAGGCATGCCGACAGCCACAATCAATACGCGTTTGCGGGGATAGGTGCGAGGCCGGTTCTCGACCGACCTCTATATAACTGGTATGCTGCTGCCGCCGTTTTACTTGTTAACGTAGCATTGCGCATGCGCGAACGGTCTGTCCTCAGAAACCAGCCCCTCGATAGATTCAGATCGGATTGCGGTGTTGGATTTTGCGTCTCGCTATTGACGTTGCCAACGTAACACCGCGCGCGCCACTTATCGGTCAGATAAACGAGAGCGCATCGGCCATCGGTGCTCGTAGGGGAAAGCTCGATTATGACGTTTAGGTTAGGTTAGGCTATTGAAGAGATGAATAAAGATTTGTATTTTTTTTACAAAAATTCTTTTCTTCGTCCCTTCGACGCTATGACGCGTATTTATACATACGTATGATATTATTGTCGCTTTCGGTCGGACCTCTTTTTTTTCTTTTCGATTGTCTCTCTGAGTGCCCACACCCATGATCCACCGTGGCCAAGGGCGCTTAGACGTATATGCGATTATATTTATTTAATAATACTAGGTTCAATCGGAACCTACCCATCTTCTTGCGACTGACGTCGGGCACTGCCGAAAGGCTGTTTTCTGAATTTGATTATTGTACGCGCTCGAACGAATGTTCCCGAATGTCGTGTAACTGTGCTGTTTCGTGTAAATTATTTGAACGAAAGGGATGGATCGTTAGATAATAAGCGATTGTGATTATGGGACGAGTGTCGATGACGCTCGAGAAAAGCTGATTGGCTGGTAAAGAGTGACCGGTTATTGACGCGTGGCCCCTTATCGCTTATCGATATACGTCCTACGGCAAAGTGCAGCGATGATCGATACGTCGTATGGATATTGATTCTGTAATGCAATATCGTGTACACTCTGAATAATAAGTTGCGCCTGTCTTACGGGAGGAGTTTACCTGCACGAAATGTTTGCCGAAGGGACGTGGTCGACGGCGGCAAATTTAAAATCGTAAAACAAATGTTCCCTCCATATTCGCCAAACCCATAGGCAAGATTGATTGCACGCGAGCGTATTACTTCAATTTTTGTTTTCCCACCCGTTACGACAATACGAGGAAACCTATATTATCGATCGTCCAATCGCACTTCCGTTATCGCGGCGATCATCAAAGACTTTGGCTTTATCTTATCGAGGGTATAAAAATATCAAAGAAAATAATTCACGACGCGCTCGTACGCGCGTTCAATATCAGTCTCGAAAAACCTTTGTCAGGTATCTCGCACGATGTTACATGGAAACTTGGAAGTATCAAGATCCGTCAGTAGACGCTTGTCTGACGTCACAGAGAGATCCTCGACTCCAGGGATCACTCGGAGGACTACAGTCCGTACCAATAACTTTTCATGGTTCACCAGGCTGTGACCAACCCTCGTGTGCATTCGACAATTAAAGGTTCACAGTGGCTTTGTTTTTAAATTTCGTCCGACTTCCGGCAGGTTACTCCAAGTGAAGACAGTCTTACGTCAAAAGCCCGGCACGCGTGTAGCGTTTACCCAGGTTCATCGATCGGTTTTTAACCTGCGCCTATGAAATAAGAAAGTTCGAGGATCATCCACGAGATCGATGATCCGTCCCGTGATCATGTTAGGCTAATTAGAAGCTGAAGCGATGATCGTTTGAAAATTTTAAAACTTATCCGATGACGATGATCGTCATCCGAGGAGCGTTCTCAATTATGCGGCCTAGCGCTCGAAGTGGCGCTGGCGCTACGACCGCTTCGTAGAATGCTGACCCTGACCGAGGACAACCTACTTATAGTAGTGACTGCTTTCCGAGGCGCCACGAGTTGTACGGCAGTCAGGCAGGCAGCCCGCTACGCACGCGTTAACCGTCCAATCCGATCGGATCGGATCGTAGAAGCGTCGCGACGCCACGTGGCCCTCCCGTCACATCCTCGGCGGCTCCTCTGGCCACGTGGGAAAAAGGAGTGGGAAAATTATCTACTACGGGCTCTCTACCC